TTTTTTTTTGGGGGGGGGGGTTTAGGGTTTAGGGTTTAGGGCCAGTTTAGGGCTCCTTCTCCTCCTCATCACCACCATCATCACCATCACTATGACCGTCGTCGACTGCCATCGTAATCGTAATCGTCTGCCGCGTCTGGGCTTTGACATGCCTCATCGTAGCAAGATGAGGAGCCTGGCCAAGTGCATGGCAAACGAGTTCCTACTTCTGGACCGAAACGGCGACAAAGGTACCAGCACCTGAATGTCGACACGAAGGCCTTGGCCGCACACGAGATCTTCGAGGTCGTTCAGGCTCGTGAAGCCCAATTTTGTCAGTTATCATGCTGCTTGATAAGGCTACCAGCTGAGGTATGTCCATGTTCATTTCCATGACATTGCATGACAGCAAGTGCATGCGAGCTACGGGTCGTAACAGATTACGCGCCATACCTCCGATTGCTCCATGCTTTCGAGGTATGTGTGCGAATCACGTGCCAATCCTGCGACACGAGTACTTACGAGGAACATTGCTAAGTCCACATCACATCCACAACCTTTGAACCGACATCATTGTGGCTTCCGGACGTAACCCGAGACGATAATGTAGAGGTCCGAATCAACAGTCGCCGTATCTCCTGGTAGTGCTTGTAGAACTACTACCATATGCTAAAATGAGTTCGAAAACCCTACTCTAGTTGTGAAGGCCCCTTTGATAGTTCGTCTACCTCTCGGCTGCATCAGGCGAAGGAGAACGATATCGTGCTGTGCAATGGCGTGACCATGCTGCTCGGTGAAGCCGGCATTCATCTACATGTCATGTTGCTTCCACTCAACTTTCGCCCCAACCCAAACTTCGCATTCCTTGGGCTAAGCGGCTAAGGTATTTCCCCACGGCCAACTACCTGCTGAAATGCATGCAGCTCTCGGCGGAGGCTCTGGAAAACTCAACAACAGTCAGAGTGGTGCTGTGGACGCCGTGAGTAATCGCCAACAGTATTCCTGAGGGTAACTTGATATACTTGTACCAAAGCTGCCCAAAACCTTATTCTAATCATAAAGGGCCCCTCTATCGCTGTTTCGGTGTCTGTCGACTAGCTTTCGTGACGGAGGTGAGCTGAGGGTGGCTTTGGGTTTGGCAGCTTCCTGTTCAGGGCAGACGGGGTTTAGGGCGCTAGAGGGTTCAATATGGAGACTACCTGGCTATATAAGGGGTATATAAGGACTTTAAGGTAATGGGATTAAGGGTCCCTATAAGGGGTCCCTCCTAAAGTCCTTAGAGATTTTGGGCTGTTGGTTTTAAGCACCATGAGCCCCCGAAAGGGCACATCAACTTCCATGAATGTCGGAATTGTCAAAGGATGGGGTTGCTTCTTGAGGCACGTTTATTTAGGCTCTTTTCCTTGAAGTCCAAGTGGCCAGTGAATGCAGCAGCAGTCGCCAAAACAGCTCCCATGGTCCAGTCAAATCCAAACACCATCTTATTGGGGAATCGCAGCTAAAGCAGAGTTGCAACTAGGAGGTACAACGCTAGAGATGTCCCAAAAAGTAGGATGACAGGATGACCCCCCTAAACCCTAAACCCTAAACCCTAAACCCGAAACCCTAAACCCTGAACCCTAAACCCTAAACCCTAAACCCTAAACCGACTATCCTGGCACTTTTTTTGTACTCCTCTGCATAAGAGCCCAGTCGGAACCCTCGACTTCAGCTCCAAATCGATGCAAAGTACTTAGAGGATCATGGGACTTAGTAAGTAGGGTTATAACTAAGGTAACTATACTTATAACCCCAATTAGGGGACTTATAACCCTACGTCGATGCAAAGGAGAGGTTGATGCGTTACGAGTTAGAGGTAATGTAATGTAGGGGCCTTAATAATCCGAATAGGGTTTTGAGCTCTTTTATACTATATGCATAACAAGGAACCCTAACAATAATATTGGTAACTATTTAGGCTTCTATAGTAAATGGAGTTCTGAACCCTAAAGCCACATCGGTATCAAACCCTGGTAAGATCCTCTCTGAACCCTGGATCACGTTTCCCGAACCTTTTCAAAGCGGGGCTGAATAGAGCCACAACCGTCATACAGGGGCCGGGTTTTGTCGCAAGTTATTTCTCAAGGTTCTCTCATACCAGCAGAACCCAATTCTGACTCTTAATTTTGTCGTTTAGTTAAAACCGCTACAAAAACCGTAGAGCAAATCCTTTTAGAACCCAAGTTTAATTGTTAAGTTCCCGACCCTAAACCCTAAACCCTAAACCCGGTGTTACACCCGGAGATTCGCTGCTCAAGGCCACACGTGACGGCGGCCTGGTCGTCTACGGCGACATCCAAAGCCGGCGCCACGTGCTTGCCTTCCGAGCACACGTCGAAACGTACCAGGCCTGTCACCCTCGAAATATATACTAGAATAGAAAAAGTACAGTGTAGTACGTATGCGATAGTAACCTTATATACAGATATGTACATATACACACACGCACATATTGTATATATATATATATATAAATAGAGATAGATACTATGTTATCTGTATATAAACAGACATATGCATATTATACCTCCACATACACATATGTATGGCCGTTGCTAGGTGCTTCGGGAAAGGGAGGTTTGAGCACCTTGCGTCTATGTGCAGATTCGTGTCTCAGGGTTTCCGGTTTGGGCTCTTAGACTCCGGTTGGAGAGGTTTAGTCTGCACTCTTTAGAGACCTTGAGCCGAGCCTTAAAATCCTGACGATGCTAGAAGCACGAGTGCGAGTCAGAAAGGAAGCACGGAACCTCCAAATCCAAGCTTGTGATGTTCCCTAGGTAGAGAGGTTTCTTTAACCTTAGAAGCTCGTTTTGAGGACCTCCTTGTCATGAGGATCTCTTGATTTTCGGAAATTCTCCCATACTTCAAAAGCGTAAGCTCATGCACAATCAGTCTCAGTGGGCGGAGGCGCTCCGTCGACAAGATGCCACGGCTTCGGCGGTCTTGCATGCGGCCAAGCAGAGCGTAGCAGGCAGCTGTCAAGACTTTCAGGGGCAGAAGGATTTGCGCTGGATTTGAAGTTTGGGGGTTAGCATTTTGGCGTTAGGATTTCGGCGGTGGTGACTTGTGGGTTTGGGATATCATGTTGATCCGGAGGGTGTGGGGTTGCACTTCGGGCTTAGATTTTTAAGTTTGGTGCGTGAGAGGGAGAGAGAGAGAGAGAGAGAGAGAGAGAGAGATAGAGAGAGATAGAGAGAGCTGGCCATTTCATTTTTCACACTGACTTGGAATAGCCCTTGCACCTCCGAAGAACCCGAGGGGGTGCTTAAACCGAATCTGGCAGGAGAGGAGCTATCGTACTTCGACGATGCACTCTTCCATCGCTTGGATCGCAACGGGCATGGGCTCTTCCAGGAGCCTGGAGGGTTTGTCAGGGTTTAGGGTTTAGGGTTTAGGGTTTAGGGTTTAGGGTTTAGGGTTTAGGGTGTTGAAGTCTGCGTACGCAGCATGACAATTCCTCGATCGGTATGCTGTGATGTATACCATAACAAGAGGGGTGTTTGGCCTTTGGAGTTTTCATTCGCTGGGGATATAGTGATGTTGAAACTGATGATACATGTATCGCTGCCAGCTGGGTCTGTTCCCGCATTGCATCCTGAACATTAGAGACGTTTGTGAGTTCGATTTGGTTTTCGGTGTGCCAGCGCTATGGAAGGCGGCCACGTAGAATTCGTGAAAAGCCGCAGCACGAGAAGTAAGTCGACCCTGTGTTGAGACATCTCAAAACCTTAAAGTCTCAGGTATTTTTTGGGCCTCATCATCAATTTGCATCTTTAGCCCAATTCCCTTCACTACGATGAGTACGCTGCTTCAAAAGTCTGCAAAGCAGCGCCTATGGCTGCGATGTAACATCCCGAAGTCCCGCCCTCAGAACCGCCTCGCCCGCGTGGAGCTTCGTGTGAAGCGTGGCTGGTGGCACTCCGAGTTCAACCGCTTCCGGCATCCCGGCACCAAAAGCGAGGCGCAGGAAGAACTCCCCGATTCGTTTCTGTTTCGGTTGCCGTTGGTGTGGGTGTTTGGTCTTGATCGGTAGTGCCTTCGTTTGGCGAAAAGCTGCGGACTCGTCAGATGCACACCAGGCACAGAGAAGCCCAGCTCAAACTCGAGGATGAAATTCAGGGGCTTCGGAGTGAGACCCCAATCCGGAGGAATTCTCGTCATTGCTAGCAAGGGGAAATCGCTGTCGTCGTCGTCGTCGTAGTAGTAGTAGTAATAGTAGTAGTAATGATAATCGTCATGATGTGACTACAGTAATCTTTCAGCAGGTGAGAGCCCGGGGGACAAGATCCCAAGAGGTCTTGAGTTGGGCAGGGTTTGGTTAGGTGTTTTGTGGAATTGAGGCTTGAATCAGGGCTTCATGGGTGAAGGGTGTTCGGATTCAGACTTTTTGGGCTTTGAAACGACACAGCACCTCCACCTGAAAGCTGGAAAAGAGCGCCTCGAAGGTACGACGTGTGGCTGGTCTTGGGTGAGAAGGACTTTTAGTACCAATGATTTCCATTGTCATGGGTATTGCGACTACTGTTGTTACGATTACAACTCTTTTTGTTCTTATTACCAATATTACATCCGTTGCTTGAATTATTGTTGCGACTGTGTTTTACTGGTCTTACGGTTACTACTATCACTACTCTCATTACTTTTGCTAGTCTTACCTTCGTGTTGTCCTTACCATTGGCACCATGGTTATGATTATCGTTGTTACGATTCCTATCCGAACTTTTATTGCTATTGCGACTGTTCCTCTGGGGACTACTGAAGGAGTCCCGGGAACCGCAGTTCGAGATGATCAGCTACGAGCAGGTGCAGCAGGACGAGCTTGGATTCCGAGCTGTTCTTTGAGGCTTCGAGGCTTTCGGTGGTTGGCGGTCTAGGGCGGAAGGGACCGTGGTCCCCTGAACCGGAGTTTCAGAAAACAGGGACCCAAGTACCTTTGTCTTGATATCCAACAAGTTCCCTGCTCCCATTCTAAACCCCTAAACCCCTAA